TGTGGATCACGCAAAATATCTTTTCCGGATGTTGAGGAGCTAAACCGTCAATTCGTAAATGCTACAGTACAGAACTCAACACCATCTTTATTTACATCTACTGGGGAGAGCCAATCTGTCACCCCTGTGGAATTCCTAAATGTACTCAAGTCCCTTAAATCTAACAAAGCACATGGCCCTGATTCGTTGTCCCCATTCCTACTGAAGGAGTGTGCTGAACAACTTGCTTTACCTATTTCCTAGTTGTTCAATTTGTGTATGTCATCTGGAAGCATCCCTGATTGCTGGTGAGCTGCTCGGATAACCCCAATTCCCAAAATAGAATAATCCAACTATCGACCGATTGCCTGCACATCAACATTATTGAAAGTTTTCGAAAGGGTCCTTCTTAACCGGTTGACCCTTTTTATCTGCCTCCCGTGACCGTATTCAGTTTGCATACAAACATTCGCCTTCCACTCTTGATGTTGTTGCTCACGTTGTTCACTCCGTTTCATCCTTATTGGGTAAAGGGGCTGGCATCATCCGTTTAACTTTTCTTGATTATGCTAATGCTTTCGGATCACTTGACCGCGGCATTCTCATTCAACGTCTTTCCGATTGTGGTATGGTACCTAATTTACTGAATGTACTAATTAATTACTTTACTCATAGGACGCAATACACTTTTTGTAACGGTAAATCTTCCTCCCTGCTAGAATTTAACTCAGGAGTCTTTCAGGGTATAGTTTGGTCTCCCTTTTTTAATTGTATATTAAGGACCTTCCCATCCCTCCCAACAAGTATGCTGATGACGTGGTGATCGGCTGTTCCTCAACTGTTCCTGATTGTTTCTGTCAAGTTCAAGGTTGGTCTAAATAACATTTTTAGTTGATCGACCTCTCGATCTTTGTTGCTAAATGTAGATAAATGTGTGGATGTTTCTTTTAGCCTTAAAACAGGCATGCCTCATAAAAACCTTTTGAGCAATTAGTCTGTACTTTCTCTTAATGGTAATACCACCCCCAAAACTAACTCTGTGAAACATCTTGGAGTCACTTCGTTACACACTCTTTTTTGGTCCATGTTGAAAACATTTATATTCAAGTTCGCAAGCTATCCTTCTACGTTTTGGGACTTAAAAAGCTCAGCGTTCCCCTAAACGTAATTCTTTGATTTGTGACTGCATGCATTCTTCCACATTGGTTGTACTGTTCCCCCGTATATTTCCCTGGTCTGAAGGAGAAATACTTTATTCTCTTTTCCAGATCTCTTAAATTTCCATCTCGTCGCAGCGGCATTTCAAAGACCGTTTTGGTTGACTTTATTGTGAGCAAGCATTTTGACTCATGCGATCGATTTATCAGCCATATCCTGTCCAACGAAGAACACTGGCTGCACTCCCATCTCAATAAATCGGTGTTTCATCCGAGTACCCGTTCCCAATTTCGGATTCTTTGTGCACGCACTACCACACACAAAAACAGCATGATCCCTTATTTTGCTCGTATCTTCGTCAAAACTAAAATATACGACCTAATTGTTGTTCTATGTTTCATGAGAATTGAACGTCAGTTCAATGCACTTTCAACTAGAAGAGAACAGAAATAGAAATAAATATCGTCGTTCTGCTGCCAGAGAAACAAAGATGTTTTAAAAACATATCTCACGCCACCACGTTTATTCGTATTATGCAAACCTGATAAGCAGATGCCAGGTATTAGAAATATTGAAAATCGGGTCATAGTTACGGTTTTGGCAACAAAGCAAAAATGTTTCATACAATCATCACAAACGTCACTAGTGATTTATTCATGTCGTTCGACCTCCTGATGGGTGATGCATGGGATTTCAATGACCTCGGATGTTCACCGAACTGTTGGTGTGGTTGACAGAATTAGTTATTGTGCTTAACGGGGATGTGGAATGGTAGGTTACCAGGGAAGATTTATGACGTATTGGGTAATGTACAAAAGCGAACAACGCTAAAAGCCTCGTTTGTCGATTCGGATCAAACTCCTTGGATATGAAACTGCAGTACTTATGGTTAGCGAGAAAGCGTCTCTTTTGTCGACTTTGTGTTCCCTGGTAAAAAATTAACACATATGTGTTTCAGGCAAGAAATCGGCTATTGTACATGTCGAGTGGGATTATTGAAGGCATGCATTAGTTCATACATGACCCAACACAGTGGAAAAACATTACTGGCTGCATCATGCTACCTTACGCAGAGAAAACGAGTCTATTCTGTCTTCACATAGCGCTTAATCTCATCAAGTTCGATGAACAATTAAATTCCTGATTGGGCATTAGTTACTGAAAGTTGACTGTACATTTGTATATTCAATAAATAAAAAACGAAGTAAAAAGACATTTATTTATTATTCATATCAGTCTGGAGGTGCAGTAATCAACCTTACCGAAATCTCACTTCCCCACGAGCGGTGCCTGGACGCAATCATCGCTTTGTGGTTAAATTGGAAAATCACCAACCATATGACCATTTTGTTCCAATCGCGCTCGAATAATGCCTGTTAACGTTCCTGTTTCTACCAAAGAAGAAAAATAAAATGGTTTACATCCGACTACAGCTTGTTCATGTAATAATCGGGTTGCATAAAATGGACAGGAATCGGCGGATGTCATTTGACGACATCAACCTATTGTGCTGCATTAGCGGCAAATGTGAACAAGATAGCCCAATATTGATAGACATCTTTGTTCCGAAATCTGGCCGACTTCATTAGGATGATTGTTTTGTTAATTATTAACCGTCAATTTTACAACAAATTGGACATTTAGGTATAAAATTTGAAAAGTGATCCAAGATGCCAACCTAATAGGTGATGCTCTATGTAGCTTGGAATGTGACCCGATGGCTGCGGTTCAAAAGAGCTGGGATCCCAGATTCATTTTATCCCTACTACCCTGTCACAACCACTATCGTTATCACTAACACCGGACCTGCCATCCTCACCATTTTAGATGTTCTACGGAAAATGATCTCCATATTATGAAATACAGTTAGTTCTTCTCGTAATATTATGCTTTTTCTTTGAATGAAAATCACCTGTCTTCAATTTGGAGTTCAACAACAGAATAAAGCAATCAGTTTTAACCTCTAATCGGTGGGATTTTAAAGTTGCGTTTGAATACACGCACGTGATTAGAATATACGTCACTGCTGCTCTATCTGTAAGACAATGGTTGGCCTCTGTGGTCAATATGCTGGGTCTTTTTACACTTTTATTCTTATTGAGTATGTTAACCAAGATTTAGGCTTTTTTCTTAGTTCGTCGGTTTCGTGTGTTTGCTTCATGTGATGTTTCCCTGAGGATTTATTCAAGTCATATATTGACGAAAATGATCCGAACTTTAGACCGAGTTCATTCTCACGAAGTCCGCTTTGGGTTCCTGTTGATATGTTAAAAAACTAATGACTAAAGCGTTTCTCAATCCGGCTGGGTCAGTTTTGGGCTATACGCGTTTTTGAACTTCGCATATCTGCGCAGTTGCAGCCTACTGGGTTGTAGTGTCAATCATAAATATTTTCCGCAAGCTCTGTAGAAGCTAGATTGATTTGCGTAGCGTTTTACAGAAGAGTGTGGATTTTTTCTTAATGCATTCTTGTTCAAAAAATATCAATACATAGATTGGAATGAATTACTAAAAGCACAAGAAGATGCGCAAACCGGAATGACTTTGTGCGATGTATTATTCTCTCTTTGTCTTTCAGTCATATGCTTGAAATAAATATAATTCCGGAGTCTCGCCTGAAAAGATTTGGTCCATCGGTGGTTCAGCTGTCCTACCGTGCTGCCCAGCACGATAGGTCAATTACGTTAAGTTAACACGTGAGCGAAACATGATCGTTCTAGTACAGGCGTTCAATGGGAAACGACTTCATCTACGGATATGTTTCATACTTCATATTTATTCTCTGGAGTTGAACTGACTAACAAAAGAGGAATCGACTATGTGTGGAATGTAGATATTTCCCAGATTTCCAATGGACCTGTTTCCCAGACCTCAGGGGAGAATCCTATAATTTTCATAAAATTAATCACAAAGGCAATTTGGAAATACCACGCTTTGAGGTAAATGATACCGTTCTAACAAAGGTTTGCAACGTGAGGTTTCTGAACAGTGTAAAACCTGTATGCACCATCAGTTTTTTCTATCGACTTGTCGGATTAGGGCCTAATTGTAACTGGACGCTTGTGAACAGCTAACAGGGAAATCATTTCTCATGTTGTGTTCACCTCCCGTAAATATGCTAAAGCTGAATATCGACCGGGTAAAATAGTTCATTCACAATCAGTGGGTATTCTCCCAGCGAGTGTATAAACTATCGATCCATCCAAACAAATCTGTATAACCCGTGAAGTAATTCGCTTACTTGAACATGACACTATGTAACGATCCAAACTTATGCATCTTTTGGTCGGATGAACAATGTCCCATTTTAATCTGGTCACGTAACCATGACGCCGACTAACAACAAAAGCAGTTATGAATTAGCGTATAACCCACACCGGACAACTCGTGACCACACGTTTAGCGACGGCGATTTCAGACAAGAAAGTATTTAATCGCGTCTCATCCAGCTGGTTCTCTAGGGTTACATTGACGACTGTATAGAACAGATGCAGCAAAGTAGCCAATCAGCTGCTGTGTGGTTTGACCAATCGGTGAGTAGTAGATTTGTCGATCTCTAATATGGCGCACTAGGGTTGTTTGCATGTGACTTAGGTACGCACATACAACTCCAGACACCAAGTGAAACTCTGAACACACTCTGAAGACCAGATTCAGTCCTATTCATGTCCCAACAGCGATACAAATCACACGTTACCAAGACAACAACACTGACAGATCTCCTCGGCACGTTTTGCTTTGTGTTTACTTTTCTCTCAGTATTTGATCACTGAACACTTTAGACATTACTTATTGTAATAGTCATAAAGTGAAAGCTGTGATCATTTATGTGTTGATGCTCAATAAAGAACGCTTCCAAGGTCATGCACTTTTTCACTTCTAATCAGCCGGAAAACCGATTGTCCCCACATTCGTCGCGTGATGAAACTGCCATTTGGTTGGGCTGTTCAGGAATAATGCTAGTCTGTACCGGTCTGATTTGCCTCAACTTTCGAGCTCGACTGTTGAATCGGACTACCTGGAAGGAAAAACAACAGCAACAACAACAAAATGATACGGAACAGTCACCAGCGGAACAAAAGAAGCACCATCATTATCATCATCAGCAGCAGCAGAAAAGCCAGCTAACCGATCGTCCTCTCCCTCCTCCCAATCCGGCACAAACGGATTGTCGTTTGGTCTACCCAGAATTGTAAGTATGTGCGTATTATAAACAGAATCACCGGTGTGTGATATTCCTTTTACCATCTAAATAACTTAGCCTTTTTCACTATCCGTGTATTATTCGTAAAATTTGAACTTTTTGTGTGTTGAATTTTGTCCCGTGAAGTAACAAGCATAATATCTTATTTATTATTTTGGGTTCTTTTGTTGGAATAGGTAGATTTCCTAAAAGTTGAAACCGTTATTCAAATTATTCTGCCATATGACACAAGGAAATTGAGAGAGTTAAGTGGCGGTGTTAGTGGAGTCGGAAAACCCGATCCCCCGGATGGCGTATCAATTACCACTGTCGTCCACAACAGAAGCTTGCCCTTTATCAACATACAGGTCTGTCTTCTCACCAGAATCTATATTTACAATACCCTAAGATTAAAAAAGGGTATCCCTATTGCTTAGCTCAAATATCGCACTGCATTGGACAAACTTGAAAGCGACCTCTGACGTATGTGTGTAGTTTTTTCTGAGGTTTGAGACCCTGCTGAATCCCGAAGAGCGTAGCCTATTAAAATCTAAACTGAACACGGTTCGCTCGGTAATTCAGATCGGACTCGATGTAAGTAAGTTGGCGTGGCGGAAAAACTACCTCAAATAAATAGGGTGATGATCGATTGCCTTAATATGCGGTGCTCATAAGCTCTGGGTATCAAAAAAGTCAATTTCTGTGATTTCTGAGTTCATGGTTGACTGGCAGATCTGAGGATTGCGCATCAAGCAGTTTAAACGGTCGTTGGTCCAAATGGGCATCTGTTTCCAACTCACCGGAAGACTATATTGCGGCAATTCGGGTATCGGCTGATTCGTCCAATTTCAACCCATTTTTGCTCATGTTTGACATTTTACAAGGCCTAGGATTAAAAAATGCTTTATTCCGTGATGTCGGGCTTTGCTTACGTTTTGTTTGAGTTAACTTTTATAATGATGCACAAGTCTGATTTGTCTCATTAACAGTTTCGTTTCAGGCCTTGCCTAATAAAGATTTTACACCTTTTTCTGAGGAATGAACGAAGAAGTTTCACAAATATAGGCTTATTATTACTACGAGCAGTTCAACTCATTTGGTACCGAACGACCTGCAGAACTGTACGTAGCTTACAAACCGTGTGCCTCTCTGGAGTGCTACTGGGGGTTGAAAACAACTTACGAACTCAGTAACATGGAATTAGATTCCTAGGACATAGAGACAAGAAGACGTGAACTGAAGGGCCGAAAACCATACTCAGTCAGAAAGTGGACGGAGTTTTTAATTCAGAAATCACAAACGTGGGTTTGCACAAATATCCATGGTCAGCTCGCGGCATCTGTACACATGCATTCTGCAGTCAAAGTGATCTTTAATGTCAGTGAGATAATTACCGTGGTATCAAGACAAGATTGCTGAATACAACAACACGACACCCTAAGATTTTTTAAAAGTTATTATACAAGGCGATGACGTGAATGAATTAGTCAGCAAACGGGTGAACTTTATCGTCCAGCACGTATATTAAGCAGTTGATCCGGTCATTTTCTTTACTGCCACCCGGATACCAACGCCATCGGTGAAAGAAATGCTGCGTCTTTTACAAAATGAATTAGCATTCACCATTTCGCATGTGGATACTCAGCCATCTACATAGACAGTGCAAAGAGACACTTGCGTCACCAAACGGCTAAATGAATCCCGGTGTGGCTTAAAAATGCAATGGATAGAACGCTTAAACCTGTTACCTCACCGAATGAGTGGAAAAGACTTCGATATTCGATAACATAACACAAACAAAATCATTGTATCGCTTCAATCCATGTATTTCACATCATCTATAACTCAACAAACACAAAGTTACTGATATTCGCCGAAGCCGTAGTCATGCAAACTGTCAAACCGGATCAAGGCAAACCACGTGAACGGTTGGTCACATTCATTTATCTTGGTAATCAACCACTACCCTCTCCCGTTCTTCATGTTAGTGTGTCATGTTTTCCGTTGTAGCTATCAATCCAGGCTTCATCTCACGGTAATTATATTATTGAGTATAAAAATCACTTTGACCGCAGCATGTACATGTACAGATTCAGCGAAATGACCATGGGTACATTGTGCAAACCCATGTTTTTGACATCTATATTCAAATTCGAAAAGAGAAAATAGTGTTTCCATTTTTTAATTTAACCATTTATTCTGGGTTTCAACTACCGTATACATGCATTTACGTCACATGTGGTTGTGAGGGTTACCGGTTAGCACAGGGTAAAATAAATCAATGCGCAGGGGGCAAAGGTCACTAAAAACCGAAGTGGATCCGGCACTGCAATAGTTTGCGAGAGCGGAGCAGGGAGACGCACTCTCATGTTTACCATGGGAGTGCAAGACAAGTAAAGAAATCGATCTGCTTATAGAAACAAATCCATTGTGTAAAGTTCAATAGTGACGAATCAATTATAACAATCCCGATGTACCTCCTTGTTCACAGAGTCACAGGAAATATAGTTAACCATAACTCACGTTTGTCAACCGGAAGTTGATAAGCCCCAGAAACTAAGTGAAAACATCCACGATTTTCGACTCAACCATTCCGAAAGTTCAGGCAACAGAACATTTTTCGGGGAGACATTGGATGGACCATAGGATGAAATGAATGTCACACAGAGTCTTCATTGTTGAAAACTGCCTACCTTTAACTCTAAAACTTTGGAGGCAAGTTGATCGTTTCAATGTTTTCGTTGATTGATGACACAATAAAGCTTGAATGTTGGAGCTCATTTGAAATTGATCTGTCATATCACATTAAAGAAACACCACACGACAGATTTCAAGATTCTTTTTAGTATCTTATGATGCCACACTATGCATAATTATCTATGTATGTTTTTAGAGCACTCAGCTTGCAAAGGCATACAACAAATTTTTGAGATCAAATACATGTATACTTATATACATATACATATATATATACGTGTGTGTAAAGTCTTGGTTTTCACTGGGATATTGACAGGAATATAGGAATATCGATCGCTTGGAATACGATGATGCGTTCAAGGAACACAACATTTACCGGGAATATCGTCAGTTAGATAACGCCTACAGGGGCAATGCTTGATTTCCGAAATAAATCTACTGGAAGCTTTACCAAGAGTGTAATGTTCAAAAGCACTGCTTATAGTAAAACAGTAATAGTCGAACAAGTACTTCTTGCCTTAATATTAGGATGGTAATTATTATATTATCAGTGTTTCGTTCCTCAACGTCGACATCCCACTCATAAATTGTAAGCAATGCACAGTTATTTTTAACCTGGTAGAAGCTAATATTGGTATTTTGTATTTCGTTATCAACGGTTTAAAATATAATGGTACAGCCAACTGCGTAGAATGTGGATGATACTAAGCAAAGACTACCTGGGGTAATTGTTGAAACAGTGTAACCGGGGTGGTGGGATTCGGGTGAAGAAACTCCAGGTCACCGTTCAACTCACCGTTACAACATGATAACCGACGCACATCAGTAGTGCACACCCACTAAACTAATGACGACTTCACCAACAGAATGGTAGGGTTTTGAGCGCAGCAAGTTATTATCAGGCTACCTGTTATCGTCCAGTCTTTGTTTTAACCTCGAGCAGACATCATCTTGTCTGACTCGAAAAGTAAGTCTAGCACAATATAATTTGGAGTTGAGCCTAATTCTATTACTTTATACGTCAGCGTATCTAGCTAGCCATGTTTCTCGTTGGCATTTCTAGAACTCCGGTAATATAATACTCCCTTTTTTAATTCTATCGATTGTTATACACCACATCTTCATTAGAACCAGCCGCGTTTGTCTTTTTTCGGGGTTTAAACTCAAGCTTGTTTTCGGTTCCTATAAATAAACCAGTCACTCTTAGCTCACTCATTTCGGTTTATCTATCTCACTCTGGTAAACAGTAGCCTCATTACCAAAAGCCAGTGAGCAGCGATAGCCAAACCGCGTGGAAATAAACTCGTTTTATCGGTTGGAGCATGCTATCGCAGCATTGGGAGAACAACTATTTGATTAACCAAGCAGGAAATATCTTTAAGATTATAAATAATTCAACATATATATGCTCTACTACAATGGAACACATTCTGTTTAACACTGTTCAAACTGTTTAAAACGTGAATCATTCTTCAGTGTTGATCGTTAGTGCTGACGACCGCACTCTTGGGGTAAATGGGTGTTATAAGCGTTTATTTCTCCATAGATCAAGAAAACGTGAATGACAATAAATGTTTACTTCCCATAATCTCGCTCAGTGTCCTGTTGTAAGCAAGTTACATTGGGGAGCGTGTATAAATATAGTCCTATTGTTTACACAACTCGGGTTTGAGAAAACACATTCAACAACTCACCACAATCCACCCCAACCTCGAGCCCACTTGCTACAACAAAAGGGATGACCGCATTGTGCTGTTAATCATAAGCATTACTCATCGGCCAGTTTGAAAACTTAAAAGCTTTATCTTCGGAAAAAAATCCCGGTGTTTGGGTACAATTTATATTTGATGTGCTTTGCTCTCGTGCGATCTAAACTCGGTCTCATTTGTTCACTATTTCATTGAGTTCGGAAAATATGTACGGAGGACTATTTACGTGATAAATGCGACCTCTTGGGAGATGTACCACACGCAAATGGACATCCAGTTGAGTTCAACTCCAGATATTGTGAAGCAGCATCATGAGTAGAGAAACCAATCGCTGCTCCCCAAAAAAGACTTTTTAATGTTGTCGAATGAATGAATTAGTTAGCAAACGGTTGAACTTTATCGTCCAGCACGTATATTAAGCAGTTGACCCGGTCATTTTTTTACTACCATCCGGATACCAACACCATCGGTGAAAGAAATGCTGCGTCTTTTGCAAAATGAATTAGCATTCACTATTCATCTTGTGGGTGCTCAGTCATCTGCATAGGCAGAGCGAGAGGCACTTGCGTCACGAATAGGCGGAATACATCTAGGCATATTTCAATGA